CAGCAACTTCAGAGGCAGCAGCAGTGTGCGGACCTGGATAAGGGACAGCTTGAACTGTCGGTAGAATCCCTGTGCAACCGCCGGGGTCCTCCCTACATTCATCAGCAGCTCGTACAAGATCTCCAGGCCGGTTTCCGCTGCGAGTTTAGTTAGAACGTTACAACGGAAAGATGACAACACAATCAACATGTTCTCGTGTTAGTGTCAGATTGTTTCTGCTGCGCAAGGATATCAATGACGCAAGAACAGCGACAACCAACCAAGGCCCTCAATGCAGATTGGTTGGATTCGCCTTGAGACCCGTGTGTCAGGCAGTCGTCTGTCTCCCTCGCGGTTTCTTGGACAAGCATGTTCCCACCCAGTTTGAAAGCTTCAAAGCTCAAATGCCAACGCAATGTCAACCAAAACAACGACCTCTCCTCCCGTAATATAGACAACGCCCCCACAAAAGGAAAAGGCAAAGCAACCTCTATGATATCGCTATGATTATACCAACCATGACAACAAGAACACCCACCGATGTTACGCTCGGTGTGCTTGAACGCCCAAACGACGCTGTCGACGACGAGCTTCTGGTGCTCTGGAGGGATCTCGAAGAGGGTGCCGAAGCAGTGTGTGTTGACCGCCTTCAAGAACCGGAAAAACTTCAACCGGTGCTCCGGGAAATCCTGAGAAACAAACAAAAAAAAAAGCAGACGGCGGGGCGATGGTGATAAACCGAAAGAATAAAGGAGAGAGTGAAAAATTGGAATCTTCTGCTGTATAGCAGTACGTACAAATCACGAAAAACAAAAGAAGAAAGGTGTACAAAATTCATGGGCAGCTAGAGACGGAGGAAGCAGCAAGGGTTTTACGCGGAGTGCATGCATAGGGTAGACTCCACCTTAAAACACCGACACCACGCGCAAAAACAGAACACCGGCAAGTATGTACCACACGGCCTCCAACGCCGATACCAGCACCGCACCAGCGCAAAACAACAACCAGCACCAGCAGCCATGCCACCCCCAACAACCAAAAAACACCTCAGTTCTCACCTCGAAGTTTCTTGTGATCATGAGCAGCGTGCACTCGAAGACGGCCTCCATGATCCTAGGCACGTACTGCTGAACCGCGTCTCCCAGCTTCTCGATGGCCTGGGCGAAGAGCGACAGCACCTCCGGATCCCTCGCGCCCGCGATATTCCGCTGAAAAAAAAACAAAGAACAGAGACACAAAATATACACATATTGTATGCATACGGAACATTACACGGAGACGAAAAGGGGTTTTCGACTGTCCGAAGGCATTTCGACTCCACGGAGGGAGGGAGGGAGGGAGAAGGGCGCGCCGAACGAAAGTGCTGTACTGTATCTACGTCGAGCAAGGCACCCACCCACACCCCCTGCAGTGATTTCGAAAACTCCACGACGAGGAGGGTGACACACTCGAAGTGATATGTACGTTTTCGTAAAGCTCTCGACGAGACAGATCTAACAACGTCACGGCCGCTACCGTCACTTGAAAGTGGGGCCCCGAGGGGTGTGGAATGTTAATCTTATGCAACAACCTAGGGTACTGCAACACGACCAGACAGACACACAGAGAGAGAAAAAGAAGCGAAAGAAAGAAAGAGAGACAGACAGAGAGGAGGGAGAGGGAGAAAAGAGAGGAAGTTAGAAAGAAAGAAAGAAAGAAAGAAGAAATAAAGATGCTCACGTGGTAGTCACCCAAGATGGGGTCGAGCATAGGCGGGAGAAAGTTGGCCGCGATCTGGTCCGTCGGAGCCTGCGGCGGCCCCGCCTTCTCGATGAACGTGGTCAGTAGCCGCAGCACCTCCTTCTTGGCCCCTCTCATCGCACGGATGTGCGACAACCGCGTCGCCAACTCCCCCTTTTTAAACGCAACAGCAGCAGCAGCAGCAGGAGTGGCAGGGAGGCAGGCAGGCAGGCACGCGAAAAATAAACGAAACACGCGACATCAACAACTACATGGGGAGGTGGATATATTGTAGGTGTGACCCTCCCTCTTTTCTACGAGTTTCACCTTCGTACACACATAGCATAGCATAGATGAACCTGATGTAATGCCATACTACTGCTGTGCAAGGATGATTCTTTCGCGAAAGTGTTGTACACCCACAAGTGGTCCCTATATAAGGCCGCACAGCCCGAAGGGATTTGGCCGGCTTGGTACGTAAGTAGCCGCACCCGTTACTACTACTACTCAGAGAGTATGAGACTGCTTCAACACACTGGTATTCCATCTTGTCACGCGATTACGCTGGCCTGTACACAGGGCGACCGCCCTTCAGGGACCACCTCTGCATGGCACACGCTAGCCACAACTTCTCTCGTTCTCCCATCCCCGATCGCGATAATTGGGGATAGATGGTGGGCACAAGAGGCCCTAGAGGACGGGGATAACATGTGCAAGAAATTTTTTTTGAGTTTGTGGCAGAAACGTAAAGAGCTCCCAAATGTTGGTGGTGTCTCTAGTAGGTGTAGGAACGGTGCTCCGTCTCGAAAGGGACGCGTGGTCAATGGTCAAATGACTACGGCAAGCAACAAATGAGTACGCCCCCCCCCCCCCCCCCTCTTACAGTATCTCAAGGGGGGCGTGTTGTGCGGGCCACTGATTTGCGTCCAAACAACAGCTCCCCGGGAACAATCCCAAAAGCACCACAAAAAAAGGGGATCCATCAGCTGCATGCCTCACCTGCTCCGCGACGGCCTGGCTGAAGTTCTCGCTGTAATACTGGTAAATCTTGAGCACGTCCATGAAAATGGTGCTCAACTGGTGGATGTACAGGGGCCCCAGCGCCCCCCACACCCTGGTGTTGGTCTTGAGAATCTTCGTGATCTGACGAAAACAAAGTTCAATCAAGCACGTCGCGGGTTTACCGGACGTTTCACGAACAAAAAATATGCATTGACGCCTTTTTATC